ACGCTGCTTTAAAGCTCCTAACAGCCTTGGGAAACAAATACTGTGCTTTGGTGTAACAACTCCACCTAGATCTCATTTACCGGGGCTCTAAGACAAGACAAATAATCCAAATACACTTTATCACAGAGCTCTCCATTCCCTTCCAATGGTCCTAGTTGTGTCTCTTTAGTGACTCAAGTGATTCTTGAGACCTGCTGGCAAGACCAAAAAAATACAGCAGTATAGCTTGTCAGCAAAATGGGATTTCCTGGGACTTTCTTATTCTTTTAAGGCTCTTAAAGGAGCTTTAAAAGTATTACAGGGACATAAAAGGGAACTGGACGATTTTGCAGCTAGCAGGCTACTTCTGAGTCAGTGCAGGAGAGATGAAGGCAGGGATGCTGTAAGGTATAATACAATCCCCAAACATATCCGAGCATTTCAGTGCACCTCAGGCCAAGATATTGCATTCATGCTTCCTCACCACAGCGCTGAGGAAAGATCTCATCTGCTCCAGCTTGCTAATTCCCCCCCAGCTCACTGTGGCTTGGCAGTGCCCTGCAAAGCTGAAACTCAATAAACTCCACCCAGACCAGTCAACTGCTTTTCACTGGTGCAGTAACAACCAGGACTGTTACAAAAATGGGGAGCCTGGTGACCGTATGGTCACTCTGCACTATCCTCATGGGGTATGGTATAGCATCCCGTGCCTCAGCCCAGTGAAGCCAATGTGAAGTAAAATGTTAACCAGGATCCAAAAGGCTGTCACCAGCTACTTTGTATTGATACAGTTCAAAGAGCCACCCAAATAATGCGAGATATTTACATGTGAAATGCACAAAGCAGATTTGGAAGCCCGGTTTGTCTGTCATAGAGGAGTATATTTGACTCAGGATAATAATTTCCCCGTCTTTGGCTATAATATGTAGGCAAGTTCTCATACCAGCAAACTACATATTGAATGCAAAAAGCTTTTAAGAACAGTGTCAAAATATGTGTTTTAAATCCTCATAAAATCTAACTCTTCTCACATGGAGACAAACAACAGAAGTTCCTCCTGTGACACAGAGATGCTCAGGTGCAGATACACTAATCTTGCATGAGTTTCCTTAATGCTGACAGCTTTTATGCCCTACACTCTAGAGCATATCAAAGACCACAAAAGAAACAGTAGCGGGACACAGCACCATTCCGGATCTGCTATTGTCCCATCTTTATATTGTTTTGTGCATGGAGAGAGAAAGAATGGTAGAAAGAAAGAAAGGAAGGAACAAAGCTCAAATAAAACGGTAAAATATGAGGAGAGACTTCAGAAAGAGTAGACCTTTTTGACTCAGTTATCTTTTTTTTTTCTCCTTCTTGAATAGAACAGAGTTGATGCCACAACGTCTCTGCAGGCTTCCCTCCGTGGAGCACGGCTAGCGACCGGCCCTGCTTTGAGAGAAGTGCTCCACATTCTCCCTCATGCGAATACCCGAAAAGTGGATACTTGCCTAGCGCTTGCATGCTCTGTTTTGAGCAAAATCTGTTAGTCCCTTTCTGGTCCCACAGCCAGCCTTTGCTCTGATGGCCTTAGGATGTTAGAGTTGTGCAATGGAACTAGAAACGGAGCAAACATTACCGGGTTTCAAAGAGCCGCACGTGCCAACTTACTGCCACTCTGCCTTCCGCAGAAACCTACCCAAGGTACAGGACCCCAGCCGAGGCCTAGGATTCTGCATAGAAAGCGTATGTACTTGCAATTACTGCCACGAATTCTGAAATCGAGGAATCTCTGGAGTTTCTACATAAAAACGAGAACATCAAAGTTTCCATCTGAATTTGGTTTATGGATTAGGAGGCAGCCCAGGCAGAGCCAGTCCTCCTTGCTCTGACACTTTCAGATAGCACTGCTGCTTCTGGGTGCTGCCACACAGCCCAGCCAGAATTCAAAATTGTGATGAAACAGCAAGAAAAGGGACCAGGGTCCCAAGCGCAGTCCCTGGGAACAGCAGCTCCAAGTTCCCATCCTCCAAAGTGCGCTGAGCACTCAGTTCAGAACCTATGAGTTACATCCATGACGATAGCTGGAGAAAGACAAACACAGGCCAGCCTGGCAGCTCTTCTTGCTGTTTTTACCTGCCTGCCAACAGGCAGAGAGGTGAATGACTTCCTGGAGACAAGCAGCCCAGAGATGGGTTTGCAGCAGGCACTTGACCTCTGGCCTCTGATCTGAGATGAGAGTCGACAAGGCTTGATGCAACACAACACAGCATTGCTGCCTCACATTTTGAGGCTGAAAGGAAGCAGAACTGTTGGTTTCCTCCCCTCCCCACCATTTCCCTACTTCTGCTGCTTTAAGCCTCTTGCTTCACAAAGTGAAGCACAGGAAGTTCTGTCTGAACATGAGGAAGAACTTCTTCCCTCTGAGGGTGACGGAGCACTGGAACAGGCTGCCCGGGGAGGTTGTGGAGTCTCCTTCACTGGAGATATTCAAGACCCGCCTGGACAAGGTCCTCTGCAGCCTGCTGTAGGTGACCCT